GCTGCGAGCATTTGCAACAACTGCGTATCAAACCGCACCTCAATGGGCTCGGTGATGGATTTCCTGAGAACCAATCCTGGGGCAAATGTGATACAATGCTGCAGAAACGGGTGCGGCGAGACTCATGGCCGGTTTGAAGAGATCACGATCAGAGAAACCGAGGTTCGTCTTAGAGAGCTTTGGAAGCTGCAGCAACAGCAAGAAAGCCGCGAGCTAAGCTCGATAGATTCAGGCAATAACCATTCCGAAGAAGAAGAGGAAGAGGAGGTACTATACGAAAACCCCGAAAACATGTATTCTTGCGAGGCAGGTAACGCGATAAACCATCTATCGGGTTCTGAGTCGTTCTCGTTTATGCCATTTAAATACTGCGATGAGCTATCCGAGAAAACCGAAAATCAGGTCCAACAAGAGTTGAGATGGCTTAAAGCCAAATGCCAAATTGAGCTCAGAGATATTCAGGATGAGCAATTAAAAACCCGGTGGCCGGAATCCGGAGAAGAGGTGGAAATTTCTCCGAAAGACGGGTTCTTGGGTTCGGGTTCGGGGTTGGGAAGAGAAGAAGATACGGTGAAAGAGATGTTTGGAGGAAGATTGGTACCAAAGTGTCTTAAAAGAACAACTTCACTTCCTGTTGATGCCATTGATTCTTGATCACTTTGTGGTTTCTTCATGTATACATATTTGTTTGCTATTATAAGGACTTTTAGAGTGTAACAACACACAAGTATACTTAAGAGATCCACTTCAATTCTTTTGGGGGTTATTTGTACAATACTACCCTTCGATCTACTCGAGAATCTAGTATGTCAAACTTCAAAATACAATAATAAGAGTTATAAGTTTTTTTTTTAATACTGATTACTTGGAAATTTCGTTTCGAGCAAGTTGTTTTAAATCTTTTCAGCATTGACATAACTATGCTAGCAAATGACAATAATTGATGACAAACAATAATGAAAGCAAATTATTGAGAGATGTGAAGTAAGCAAACCAGTTTCGGAATAACTTCGGACATTAAAATTACTCAAAAGTACAATAATAACTTTAATAAAGAAAAACCAAAAAAAAAAAAAGAATTCGTGTCTACAATTTTCTTAAGACATTTTGGATAATGTAAAGTGAAATTGTAGGAGAAAAATAAAAATGACAAAAAGGAAAAAAAATAGTCAATTATAAGAGTAACCCCACAGCAGCACAACGCCATGTTCCATTGCCGACCAATCAACTAGAAATTTGGGTTCATCCACATGCCTTTGTATTTATTTTTCATCAAATTTTGGAAACATATATTGTATAATATTTAACATGGTTGGTTTGTCGTTACTATGTGATTATTATAGGAAATGGTTGGACATTTTCAATATGACCTTCTTTTTTCTCCATATACTAGAAAACGATTCTTCAAATAGTGACAGAAAATATCATCTCAAGCTTTATGACAAAAATATTATTATCCACCCATCTTTGTTGAATTTTGTATATACAAATCATACACCAAAATGGAAAAATAAAAATATCACACGCATCTAAATTTTTTTACAATCACGGGTGATTTGATGTGGTAAGCCGTAAGCCAATATATATATTATATTACAAGTTATAAGTAATTTTCTACTATAATGTCCGAAGCTCAGATCCAGATAGTGTACCTTGGAGATCTAGATAGGTAAATGATCAAATCTTTGATGAAACGTAAGATGATCATTGTGGTTGTTTTGGTCCTTGTGGATATTATTTAATTATTTGTGTAAATAAGTGGTTTCAGATCACTTTAAGGTTTCTTACGACTTTTCCATACAAATCACAAGAAAAGAAAAGTATTTTTCAGATAAAGCTGATGATAAATTACTTATATTGAACACACACATATATATATATATATATATATATTTGTATATCATTATATGCTATTAATCCAACAACTTAGGAAAAAAGACTAGTGAATCCAATGTGAATATGTTTATTTTTTTTTAACAACCGCCATACTAATTCACCAAAAACTATCATTTATATTTGTAAAATTTTTTAGAAAAGTTCTCTATATATAGTATTTAACCTGGTATATATTTGTAACATGGGAATGATGTATTATATACCCTGTCCAAATTCAAACTCAAACTCGAAAATTTATGTTATACGCGTCAAGAAAATTCAATGGAACTAAAACAAAAAAAAGATAATGAAAAATGGTAGCTAGTAGGGACATATGAAGAATTGAATTATGTTGACCCATTAATAATAATTGATATCATTTGATCTTATAGTAGATATAATATAAGTCTAAGAAAGCAAAATCGTAAATGGTCGTTAATTGATGACATGCATGTGGTATTGAATGTACAGATCAACGTACTCTTTTCGTACCCAACTCCACTTCTTCAGTGCCAACCATTCTTCTCAAATCTTCCCACCATTCATTTTCTTGTCGGTCCTAAATCTTTTCCCTCAAGATTTTCCTTATTACTTTATAAATATATTACAAAAGTGTGTCCATCCATTATTATGAATATAATGCAAGAGGGTCATCACCACCAGCAACTAATAATTAACGAATATATATATCTGTGGATCTTAAATTTATGTTCCAGCGAATGGTCGAAATCTGAGTACAACCTTCAAATGATCTTTTGCGGTGGAAGCCAACTCATTTTAACACACTCGTGGGTGTGTGGCTACTGGCTAATTAATTAGTATAAGTTTAAATATTTACTCTTCTTCCCAAAAGTTTCACAATCTTTCTTTGCATTAGTCCCAGTTCCAGCACACAATTCTTACTTATTAAATAGTAAAGTAACACCGTTGACAAGACAAAAAAATGATTAGTACGGTGTAGGTGTAAAACACCAAAGCAAAAACGAACAAAATAGCCGCTTTTGTTTTTCTAATTTTCCCAAAAGTTGCAGGTTAATCAACTGAACACAAGTATATATAAAGTTAAACTGTCATTTATTCTAAGAGTTTTGACATTGGTTAATTCTAATTCAAAATTGCTGAATTCGTAACGTTGAATCAACCCCAGTTTTGTAGTATGTACAGAAAATATTGACTTAAAATATATAAGTACTTAACCAATGTCCAACGACAATTGTTTGTGACACTAGGCTATAAATATTTAGGCCCAATGGGCTCCGTTTATTATTAAAACCTGAAACTCCTCCAAACGGCCAGGATTTAGTAAGCCCAAGTAAAAAACGTTTAGGCCCATAAAAAAGAGAATACTAAAGAAACCCTAATAACCTTCAACTATATAAAAGCTCCCCGACTTGCTTTCGGCGTCTCTTTCCTTTACCCGAGCGGACGAAAACACTCAAGCTTGCAGAGATCTTTCACTTTAATCCTTGAGAAATCGCAAAAATGGCTGAAAAGGCGGTCACCATCCGAACCAGGAAATTTATGACCAACAGACTTCTCTCCAGGAAGCAGTTCGTGAGTTCCATTGTTTCAACTCTTGTCTATTTCTCTATTCGCATATCGTTCTCGTTCTTCTAGGGTTTAGTTTTAATGGCCTTGTAGATATAATTCTTAAGCGTTTCGTGAATTTTTATTGGGTTTGACGTTTTAGGTCAGGTTCTCAGATTTATGACCAAATGTTATTCATATATAGTGTTTATCTCATGTATAGTGTTGATCTGGCGCAATTAGTTCCATTTCAGATTTTGGATTGGATTTCTAAGTTATGGTGGATTGTTGAATGTAGGTTATTGATGTTCTTCACCCTGGAAGAGCCAATGTTTCAAAGGTTTGTTCTTTACTCTCAGTGCCTTTGTTACCTTCATCTATTTCGAGTTCTGGTCGATTGTGAGAGGTTCTAACGGGAGAATTGGTTTTTAATTTTGCTTATAGGCTGAGCTGAAGGAGAAGCTAGCAAGGATGTACGAGGTGAAGGACCCAAATGCTATCTTTGTTTTCAAATTCAGAACCCACTTTGGAGGTGGTAAATCATCCGGCTTTGGTTTGATCTATGATACTGTTGAGAGCGCCAAGAAGTTTGAACCCAAATACAGACTTATCAGGGTACATGCTCTTTCCATTCTTGTTTATATTGCTGCTCACAATGTCCCGTCTTAAAAAAGTCCTATCTCTATTTGATTACCATCAGTACTCTTGCTTATTACAGTTCGTCTGAAAATTATAAGCTATGTGATATGTTTCACACTTTATTGTATGTACATGGCTCTGCATTGTTATACTTAAAAATGCTTTGTCTATGCGATTGGCAGAATGGACTTGACACTAAGATTGAGAAGTCAAGGAAACAAATTAAGGAAAGGAAGAACAGGGCGAAGAAAATCCGTGGTGTTAAGAAGGTGAGACTACTGGTTACGAAATGTTTGCTCTCTTGCTTTTACTTTTTTTTTTTTTATTGTGCCTGAATCCTTGCGAATCTTGTTTGTTCAATGTTTGCAGACAAAGGCTGGTGATCCCAAGAAGAAGTGAGATCCTGAAGAGGGAATCTTTATCTTGTGGGTTCTTGTTCTCCATAATCAATCACCTTTTATGTTATTTATCTGCTGTTAGATCGTTTCTCAAACTAGACATGTTTACTGAAATCTCAGATTTTCGCTTATTTTGTTCCAGTCGATTTATGTTTTAAATTTAGAGGAACATATGATCTAAGGTTTTGTTCAATACATCTATTTAAACTCTCTCTTGTCTGTTTCCACCATTCCCATTCGCTGCAGATGAAAGCAGTTTCCATGTTCGTACTTCTTACATTCTAGGTGATTAGAAATTGATTGGTTGTGGCTTGTGCAGCTGCGTTTAATTGTAAACGTGAGTCTCTTGTCTAATTAATTTACTCACACACAATGACCTTGTAACTTAGATCGTAGTCATGGAATATGAAAGTAATTATAACAAACTTCTTAAGGTCCATTTGGTTAGCTCATATCATTTAGCTTGCAAATACGATGACTAAGTATCAGTTTGATTGAGAGAAGTCAAAACACTATTTTTTGTACTTTTCTGTTGTTTTTGATTGAGAGAAGTCAAAATCGCGTTAACGAAAACGCTCTACCAAATAACCGCGTTTAGGAAACGCTATTAGTTACCGAGTGTGGTTGGGACCGAGAGACGTCACGGCTCAACCAATCCGCAAATAAGGAAGCGCGTGTGTGTAAGTAGTGGGTGACCACTTTGCCTAGTCTTAAACGTTAAGTTTGGAAATACCAAAACTAGCCTTGGTTGGGTCGAAGAATCTCATGCCCCTACCACCCAACCCAATCACAATCCTCGTGAACACACCACCTTCTCTCCAATCTGGATCTGGTTCTTCTTCTTGGTCTATTCTTCATCTCACCGTAGCTGATCTCGTATTGTTCTCCGTTCATTTGTTACGGTGGAGATGACATCGGATCACCGCCACGCTGATTTCTCTCTGGAATCGCCGGATCCGGAGGAAGGAGGTGTAGGAGACGGAGGAGAATCTGATACTGACGAGGATTTGCGTGACAACGATGATGTTGTTATGCCGGAAGCGAACGAAGCCGAAGCTGAAGACGACGATCCCGAAGAGGAAGATCTCAATTCTCCGTCACTCGCCATGGTTTCTACGATCTCGGCGACTGCGGTTGTTTCCAGGAAGCCGACGGCGACTTCCTCTACAGGCGCCGTGACTGTTGCTCTTCCGGCTGGATCCGCCGTCCCTGTCTCTGTGATTCCCGTTGATTCCGATCCGAAATGGCACCGTATGACGGAGATCGTTCACCAGAGACCTCCGATCGATGATTCTAGACGCCTGTTCCAGAGGCTGTGGACGGATGAAGACGAGATCGAGCTTCTTCGTGGTTTTCTCGATTACATGACGACGCACCGTGGTAGCAGCTCGCATCCGCCGGATACGGCGCCGTTTTATGAGCAGATAAAGTCGAAACTTCAGCTGGATTTCAACAAGAACCAGCTGGTGGAGAAGCTTCGAAGATTGAAGAAGAAGTACCGGAATGTGATGAGCAAGATCAGCTCTGGTAAAGAGGTATTCTTCAAGAGCCCTCATGATCAGTCTACTTTCGAGATTTCTAGGAAAATCTGGAACCAAACTGGGAAAATCATAGGGTTTGAAGACAATAATGTAATGGATTTCGAAGAAACCAATAACCATCATAACACCAATGGTAACTACTCAACCTTTAACAGCCCTAGCTCTAATCCTTCTCTGGAGCTCGATTCCGAAAACGGAGTCGAGAAGAAATTGACAATGAGTAGCAGTAGCGTGTCGAGAAAACGATCACGATCAAGGATTGGGAAGATTGAGGAAGACAATAAACCCATCATCACTCCATCTGATGGGCAGATACCAAATGCAGCTAGCAATGTTAACCTCAACGAAACCGCAGCTGCTGTTGGTATTGGAGGAAATCTCGGGGTTTTGATTGAAGAGACTGTGAAAAACTGCGTCTCTCCTGTGATCAAGGAGATGATGAATGGGACAACAAGTATGATGATGGCTGCAATGGGAGGAGGGTTTCCAGGTGGTGGTGGTGGTCATGGCTTTGGCTCGCTAAGCCCCATGTTTACACGGCCGCTCAATTTCGGTTTTGGTGTAGAAGGAGGAGGAAACAAGGCGGTGGCAGATGAGCGGTGGAGGAAACAACAGATTCTGGAGCTGGAAGTGTATTCAAGGAGATTAGAATTGGTTCAAGAGCAAATTAGAACAACATTGAACGAGTTAAAGACGATGCCGAGTGGTGTATGATGAAGAGCAAGAAGAATAAGACAAGAAATAACCAGTTAGGTTGATATTTGATATCTCTGAGTTAACCTTCTGGTGTGTGGGTGAGTATAGTATGAGATTTGAATCTTTTTTAAGTTAAAAATTGCTAAGGTATTGTGATCTTTCTCTAGGTTTTGATTTTTTTTTTTTCTTATCTTTAAATTATTTGTCAATAGGGATGAATCATAGGTGGGGGGGGGGGGGGTTTGTGTATAACCTTTGTATTAGATTATAGTTTTTTTTTCGGAAAATCATTTGTTCAATAACAAACAAACAGACTTCTAGCTGTTTATTCTCTCAAAAAGAAAAAAATGAATAATTCTAAATTGTGTGCTAATCTTTCTCTGTTTAATAAAAACTGTAATAACATGTTTATTTCTTGGTCGAATGCTGTTATTGAAGTGTATTAAACTTTAACCACTTTCTTTATCATATATTCATATTGATTATTTAGATACTTAAAACTTATGTTTTTGAAAAATAGAATCAATGGTTTATTTTTTTTTGTCCTTTGTCAAAGACAAAAGTGCTTTTATGACAAGGACTCAAGAACTGATTTCTTTTGCTAGTGCTCATAGTCATAAGAATATTTATTTCCTGATTAAGTAAAAAAAGTTAAAGAAACGTATAAACAAAACAATTTCAAGATTGAAGAACGGAGAAGCTTGTCCACGTGACGAGGCAAAGAATGTTAGTTAGGTAGGTTTGTTAAGAATTATGAAATTTGTAGATACATGATCTAACAAAACAACTTTTGAAGATACATGAATTTGTTTATAAATGAAATAATGAGTGTATATTTGTGTCATGGTGTGTATATATGCAAATATTACACTTTATAAAATCTTATCGCTAATTTTGAAGAACAGTTCTCTCTCTTTGAGAACACTCTTTTTTTCTTCACCGATTGGATCTGGTACTGGTAAGCTCTTTAAGTTTCTGGGTTTGTATCTTTTGAACTGTTCTATTGTTTCCTTAATAATTTCGCCTCCTCAGGTTCGATTTCAGCTCATGTTTGAACACGAATACTTTGTATCACTCATCACTGATATACTCACTTGTTTCATTGTTACATCTTATATTTAGTTTGGTACTCATGTTTTCTGCTGTTCGAATTTTGTTTGTTCTCTGATTTATACTCGAGTTTGAACTTAAATCATGGTCTTGGTTTCACTTTACAATCTCGGATCTCAAGTCTTTGGTTTCTGAAATGTTTTATGGTTGACAATATTATTAGGGACATTGCATGCAGATTGTGTCTTAAATCTTTTGATTTTCTTGTGATCTTCAGAACCCAAACTGGGAGGGATTTTGCTGGAATTTCAAAGACCCTTAGCATGGAGGAGGACCGGTGTTCTATCAAGGATGATGCAACTCAAGTAATATCAATCTTTCAATTTTCCTTTTTAGTCAATTGCTTCATTGGAATAAACTTAGTTTTAGTTTCTTAGCTCAAGTAATGTACTTAGTTTCCTTGGTGTGTGTTTGCATTCTGTGACAGTTGATAGGTAACACCCCAATGGTATATCTGAATAACATTGTGGATGGTTGTGTAGCCCGTATTGCAGCTAAGCTTGAAATGATGGAGCCTTGCTCTAGTGTCAAGGAGCGGTATATATTCTAGAAACCTCTCTCTCTATATCTCTTGTTTGCTCCAAGCAATATATGTTCTTTTGTGTCTTTTCTGAGAAATACCTTGGTTCTTTGAATGATCTTTCGCTTGCTAGAATTGCTTACGGTATGATTAAAGATGCAGAAGACAAGGGATTGATTACCCCCGGGAAGGTAGAGTGAATTAAATCATACATCCGTTTCTCTTTTTTGCCATTAGTATCAAACTGAAACTTGAATCCTGGTGGTTTTACTCAGAGCACACTGATTGAGGCTACTTCTGGTAACACCGGGATTGGTTTAGCCTTCATCGGGGCAGCTAAAGGTTACAAAGTGGTCCTCACAATGCCTTCAACAATGAGCCTTGAGAGAAAAATCATTCTTTTAGCATTAGGTGCAGAAGTTCACCTCACAGATCCTAGTAAAGGCGTTCAAGGAATAATCGACAAAGCTGAAGAGATATGTAGCAAAACTCCAGATAGTATCATGCTAGAACAGTTCAAAAATCCTTCAAACCCGGAAGTATGGACTCTCGTTTCACATTTATATTTGCTCGTCTTCTCTTTTTAGCTCTGTGTATCTTCTTTTATCAATCTAAATTGATTCTTCTGCAGACTCATTATCGAACCACGGGTCCAGAGATATGGAGAGACTCTGCAGGGGAAGTAGACATATTGGTTGCAGGTGTTGGGACTGGTGGAACGCTTTCCGGATCAGGAAGATTCCTCAAGGAGAAGAATAAAGACTTTAAGGTAGAAACTTATATCGAAGTCGAACTATATCATGAAAAACACATTAGTTATATATTTGGCTTTTCAAGCACTTCTGTTATCAACAGGTTTACGGTGTGGAACCTACAGAAAGTGCGGTAATCAGTGGAGGCAAACCGGGTGAGTTTGTTTCTCTCGTGCATATAAGATTTTAAATCTTGATCTAAATACCTAAATCTCTAAAGCAAACATCATTCGTGGAGTTTCTTGCTGCTAAATCTCTTTCTTGATCACATACCATAAAACCCTGCTACTGGTTTCCGGTTTCTAGGTACACATTTGATCCAAGGTATTGGGGCAGGAATCATCCCAGACAATTTGGATTTCAGCGTTCTTGATGAACTCATTCAAGTAATGTAGCTGAGATTTTACCGGTGTTGTATTGGTAAACGCGATGAGATGTCAAAGAAATCAAACTGAGATGTTTGTAATCTCCAATTCGTTTTTTCAGGTGACAAGTGTGGAAGCAATTGAAACAGCCAAACTTCTTGCCTTGAAAGAAGGATTACTGGTAGAATCACTGATTCAATCGGTGTGTTGGTTTAAGCCATAAAAACAACATTTCTGATCAATGTTATCGTCTGGCAGGTGGGAATATCTTCCGGAGCTGCTGCAGCTGCTGCGATAAAGGTGGCAAAGCGGCCAGAAAACGCCGGGAAACTCATAGTTGTAAGTGGAAGAACAGAATCATAACGTGTAGCAGATAATTTGCCAATTCACTGAGGTTTTAGCAAAAATGAATCGGTAACTGTCTGGTCTTTCAGGTGATTTTCCCCAGCGGCGGGGAACGGTACTTATCGACTTCACTGTTCGAATCGGTCAGACATGAAGCAGAGAATTTGCCAATTCACTGAGGCTTTTACACTACCTGACTCGGTTCGGTTTGATGAAAAAGTGCAGAGATTTCGGTTTGACATTTACACTTTCATGAACTTAACGATTTCAGTTGATGCCTGATCCCCAATCTCTAGCCTCTAAGGTGGACTGTCCTTTGACATTCTATTGCTTTTTTGCTTGTTTTCTATCTAATATATGTATAAGTCTCTGTGTACAACCATTTTTGACAAAGAATCTACAACAATGTTACTAGTACTAGACAACTTGGCTAGAGGATTGTGGAAGAGGAAGAAGATCAGAGGACAAGAGACTATAAACAAACACATCATAGATTTGACCTATAAACAAACACATCATAGGTTTGACCTTTGAGATAAGTGTACTTCCTGAGCAAACCCTCTCTTCGAAACCCTTTGAGTTTGAACAAAAGCTTGAAGCCTCAAAACATGAGGCAGGTCATTGAACACTTGTGATACTGCAACTGACACTGCCCTCGTTGTTATTCCCTTTCCCCAATACTCGTGAGATAATCCATACCCAATATGCGCTTTGAATCTTGAAAATTAAAAAGTATACAAAACATATAAATTTTAATTTCTAAATATATTGAGTAATAGCAATGATTACTTTTAATATAGAAAATCTAAAACTTTTTTTAAATAATTAAGTGGACTCGAAATAAAGTTACTAGCAGAGAGATAAAAACGTGATCTTATATGTTTTTCCTATGTATATAGTAGTTTATTTTTTTCTTTACAATTATACGATTTACACATCACTAAATTGACAACACTCAATTCATTTGGATTTTGGACTAACATCATATCATATGCTATAAATAAAATCATATATTAAAAAGATAACGAGGTTTAGAGAAAAATTCAACAGCTAGAAATCACTGTACCTATTATCACCGGTCTCAGGGAAGATTGAGATGAATCCGATAGAACGGTCATCGATGCATATGGAACGCCGCCATGGATGTGGCACACAGACGTCTCGAATAAAGGTCAAAGCTTCCTCCTCCGATGTAAAAGCCGGCCAACGGAGATTTCCGGTCACTCGATCATCGCCGGCCCATCTCAGGAAATCGTGAGCGTCCATTAGTTCAAAGGGCCGGAGGGTAACTCTTGAGAGATCAATAATCTCCATGTGTTTTTTGGTTGGTGGAACTTTGACTTTTTGAAGGACTATTATACTTCGGTGAGTATATCGTTTTTTGTCCATTGGTTAATTATATCGTATTTTACATGCAAATGAGCATATTCCTTAATTTAAATAGTAGTAATAATACAATTTTTTTTTTTGACGTAGACTCTATTTGAAGTCATATCTTCGATTTGCTTTATTGAGAGAGAGTTGTCAATTTGTGTATGTGAACAATTCTACACTCTTTTGATTCGTTATATGATTATAATCAAAATTTTAAACAGAAAAATAAAGGGACGTAAAAGAAAAGAGTAAAAAAAATTGTCTGTGAAGCCACAGAAAACGACATTGAGGGTTAATAAAAAATTATTCTTTAATCATGCCATTGACGGTAAAAGAGTCTACCATTAATATTATCCATCCATAACAAAAGAAACATTATTATTGTATGGAGAGCTTAGCAATGATCATATAGGCAAAAACATTGCTTAGCAACCAAAGAATCTGTGATTCCAACTCCAGTTTCTTCTTCATCGTCTGAACTCTTATAATCGATCTTAAATGTATAAAAGAAATAAATGATAAAAGAAAAATAAGAGAAATTATTTAAGTTATGTATTGATGATTAATATATAGATTCAATGGATTAAAGATAACAATAGTTTTGGATAGAGAGATCGAGCTTAACACTGAAACCCACACCAGCATGTAGGATAAGAAAACTCAGGATGTTGTTTTGAAGGAGGAGATGGGTAATAACATGTTCCATTGCCTTTGTAGTCAGCCATGCACTTCTCTTTGCATTTCTCGTCTCCTTCACAAATCCATGAATTACTACACTTTTTTGCTTCTCCTATCATTTTGCCGTTTTCTATTTATCAAAAGAAAAAGAAAAGAAAGACAACTTCTCTAAATAATAACACAAACAAGTTGACCAAAAAATAAAAAAAAATAACACAAACACGAGTTTATCAATGTAAAAGAAGTGGAACTTTTTTTTTGATAACTTATGGTAAATCCCCAGACCTATGAAGGGGTGTAGGACCAATCCTGGGGAGAAGGTGTCTCACGGGTAGGGTCTTTCTAGGTTTTCAAATGGACCGTAAACAATGGACTCATACCCATGTGGCCAAAAAGATAAAGTTGAGCAATTCTACGTCTGAGGAGAATCAATCCCTGACCTAGACCAACATGACCACTCTCCACCAGACTAGAACCACTAGCCCACCACCTCTGGTTAAGAAGTGGAACTTTTTTTAATATTTATCTCAGTTTTATTGTTTTTTCTCAATTCCGACCAAGGATCCACAACAAGATATTGATCCCACTATATATGGTAGATTAAATGATCAAAATTAGTATATCAAACAACGATTAAAAAAAAAATTTACCTGAAGAAGAAATAACGACAATTAGTATGAATAAAAGAGAAGAGTTTTTCATTATTTCTCGGATTTGTGAATGTTTTTGAGAGGCTTCAACTAAATTTGTTTCTTCTAAGATGTAGTTTGCAGTTACCAAATTCGACTATATTTATAGGAAAATATTTAATTTGTACTTTATCGTTTTTAAAAACTTTATATTTATTATATTTGCATTTATCTCTCTTTTTTTTTATATATAATACTTGTGTTTCAAATTTCTACTTTAGTTTAGCATTTAAACCAAAATAAGTAAAAATTCAAAACCTTTGCTTTTAGTTTTAAAACATATTTTTAGCATTAAAACGCTTATATATAGTCTGTTTTAGATTTATATTTGTACTTTATATTGACATTTTATCACTTTTTATATTTGTATTGTGTCACTTTTTATATTTATATAAATAACTTTTTAATATTTTAAACTCCTTATACTCCGGAAAAGAGAGAGGATTAATTATTATTTTAATCACACGGATTAAGGGTGCATAATAACAAGGAACATTATAATTGCATAGAGAGAGCTTAATTAATTAGCAATCATAGTGGCAGAAACATTGCTTAGGAACCAAAGGAGCAGTGTACAAATCACAGATTCCATCTCCATTGTACAAAGTCTTGCACTTTTCTCTGCATTTGTCTTCTCCTTCACAATTCCACGTCTTCTCGCACTTCTTTGCTTCTCCTACCATCTTCTTGTTTCCTTATTCATTCATCAAAACAAAAATATTACAAATTTATTTTACATATTTCATCTTAAAGAACAATCAAAGATTTTTCAGAGAAATTTTATCAAATTGATATATCAAACAATTAAAAGAAAACAAAACAACAATTAGTACGAAGAGAATCGAAGAGTTCTTCATTCTTAGTTTCTGATTTTTTTTTCTTCCTGCTTTGTAGTTTGCAATTTTCGGATACCATTATATATATATATATATTTAACTTCGGTTGAAGAAAAAACAAAACGACATAAATTATGATAAATAGATTCTCTATTTGTTATTTAGATTTCTATTTACATTTGGTAGTAGATTTTCTCTTATAGAAGAAAATCTCATCATATTTATATTTATGACATTTAGATTTTTTTTCTATTTGGACTTTACTCACTTATTACTTTCTTAGGAATTTCACATTTTTATTCTGATTTTTTTTGTAATAAAAAATGAATTATTATCTCCGATCTTTTAAACGCTGCGTTTTGGGGTCAGGGTTTTGGATTCCGACACGGTGAAGAACAACGGGATCCATTTTCTTACTTCTTCTTCCTCTACCACCTGAGAAAAAACCCTAAAACCCTAATTCTTCATAAATTAGTTTCCAAAGGCGTCAATTTTGGGCGGAAAATGTGGTCTTCGAGAGCTCTCAAGTATATTTTCAGGCTAAGACCTGAACCAATTTCTTCTTCATCGTTTTCCGCATATTCGCTATCTCGCATCACCGGTGGTGCTCTAATTCCGTCGCAGCACCGATCGATTACCTCCACGGCGCCGCTTAATGGATGGATGGATTCGATCAAAGGCGTTTTTACCGGGAATAAGGATACTCCTTTGGAAGAATCAAATCTACCCGTTGAAGCTTTTACTCTTCTCCGTAAGTCTTACATGGATATGTGTGTATGTGATTGAGTTATCTGAGAAATGTGACTGTAATGGTGGATAGATTGATATACTCATCAAAGCTTTTCTCTTTGGATTGAAATTGAATTTAGGATTTGCTGATGAATTGAAGAATGCTAGAAGGTTAGGGAAATTCAAGCAGTACATTGTGGGTCGAAGCAGCGAGGCCACTTTTTCAGATGCATTTGAGAAACAAGAAGCTGTTATTAGGTATCTTGGAGCTCTTGATGCTACAGGAGAGGTTGGTTTCTTTCTTAGCATACTAGAGTCCAGCTATGTATCTATCGTTTCTATCATATACACATGACTTGGTAAGAGTTTGCAAAATCAGTGAAAACAAGTTTTTTTTTTTTTTTTGTTTTTTTGGTATGTTAGTCAATGTCTTGACTGTGGCACTAGGTTTCTTGATGTGTAGAATCTTCAAGCGAGTCAAAAGCAAGATGCGGCTAAACATTGCAAATGCACGATAACAGATGTGGAGAATACGCTGGCCAAGTTTACTTGGGCCAGGCAAGCTCACAAGAAGATGGCAGAGTTGAAAGAAGGAGGCAAACCGTTACCAAAGAATATGGGAGAGGTGTTCTTCTGACTATTTATACCCATATGCTTTTTAGCTCCACAAGTTCCTTTGTATGGGGCAATTTGCATGACTGTGTGGTCACGTTTCTCGTTTCTTAGACTTAGAATAGTGTTTAGAGCTTATGAGATTGTGCATTGACACCCTCTTCTTCGTTTTGATCATCCTCATAACCAACATTAAGTTTCTACACCGAACTGATTCCCGGCTCAAGAGTGCCTCTATTATAAACACGAGCTGGTTTGTAACTTGGTTGTTTTGCATTCTTGGTTAGATTTGATGGTCAGTGATTATTAAGAGGAGTCATCTTGAACTATGTTGGTATTGTTAATATTTTCGTTTACATTTAGACAGTTTGTTACCTGTTGGTTCACTGTTGTCCTTTGTCTTGCATCCATTAAGCTGTTTATGATGACACTAAATTGATATATTGGTCTATTGAAGCTGCAAAAAATGATGGGGTCAACACCAATGGATCTGGCGAGATCAAACTTAGCCAAAAGTGGGCAGATCAGCCGCAATGCACTTTGTCCATGTGGTTCTAAAAAGAGATATAAAAGGTAAACAACTTTGAAGAGCTTTCCTTTTCCAGCAAATACTCAAAACTGTTCATCAAAGCTGCACCTCTATGTAAATTCATCATCTTGTTGCTTTCCCATTTATCGTTGTGTTGATATATTTGCACTCTCTTCTTCCTTGAAGATGTTGCGGAAAGGATTGAAGAACACACAAGTTGATCGAAAACAACTAGCTTTCTTTTGACTCTTTCTTGGCTTCATTTGCTATTTATGTTCTTCCAAAGAGGAACAGATGAATTTTAGGTGAGATGTTGTAGTAGAAGATACTGGAAATTTTTTTTTCTTTTTGTAAGGTTATTCAATAATCAGTTCTCCTGATTACTTTACCTTTTAAAATTTATTCTCAGAACCTTAATAAATAAAAGTCACATGTAAACCTTTTTTCGGCTTAAGTATATATATATATATCATGTCGTTGAAAGAAACCCAATCCAACGGCTACAAAACAGTACGTACAATAGTGAATACGGTCAAACTTCAAAAGCAATCTAAATTCATAATCCAACGGCTGAGATCTCTTGGATTGATCTAACGGCTAAAAATCGAAGTCATACGTCACGAAATAAGAATGCTCAGTGAGGGTCTTTCTCCCTCCCATTTCTGGTAAAAATGGTCTCTTTCTCTCTTCTTTTCTTCTTAATAAGTCTACAAAAACAGAAACAAAAATAAAAATTAAAGCTTTCTCTAAAAAATCTCACCTTTATCTTCTTCTTGCTCTCTTTGTGCCCTCTTTCAACATTCTGAGTACAGAGAGAACTAAGTTTAGATCCATGGAACCTGCAAATTCTTCACCATTGCCACGAGGCACGCCGGAGCAAAGTGAAGATCAGTCTCGAGAAAGGTTTCGTTTTTCCTCTTCTTCTTATTTCTCTGGAAGCTTCCGTTTACTGTTGTGTGTTTATTATTCTTCAAATAGATAATTTATTTTGTACTTTTCATGACGGATTTGTTCATTTCTTTTTGTTTTTTGAATACTTAGGGTTTCTGCTTATGATCTTACGGTAGTGGACAGTGATTTAGAGGGATTAGACCAAAAAAAGAAGGACATGCGTAAAATGTTTAATCAGATTCAGGATAAAACTTCACTAATTCTTCAATTCTCGCTTAAGTGGGAAGAAATCGACGAGAAGTTTGGTTTTCTAAAGCAACGAGCCATGGAAGTGTCTTTGAAGGAGGAATCTGTAAGGAATCAGATTCTGGAGCTGGAGAAGAAGGAAGAGAGGCTGAGGCTTGTTGAAGAAAGAGAGAGGGAGATTGAGGCTTCCATCAGTGCCTTGCAGGAGAAAGAAAATGATTCTGATCTGATACTGTTTATGGAAGCGAATGTGATGAGATTGGTTCTTCAAATGCAGTTTGAAGAAGTGGTGGTTTCTCAGCTTAACGCTCAAGAGAAATTTCTTGGTTTGCTCCATGATTCGATGATGAAGAAGCATGAAGAGCTAATGACAGAGCTTGAAGCAAGGAAAAATGAGGTTGCTTTGATTTCTAAGACGATCGATGACAAGACTTGTGATTTAGAGATGAAAGTGAAAGACTTTGATCTTAAGCAAATAGCTGAGTCTGAGAGAATGAGAAAGGAGACTGAGGTGATGGAAACATCTCTTAAGCAACTTGAAGCGAGGGAGAATGAGCTTAGGTTGCTTAATGAGACCATCCAAGAGAAATCAATTGAGCTGGAGAAGAAAGAAGTGAACTTTCAACTGAAACAAGAAGCAGCAGCCAGAGAGACTGAAGCGAAGAACAAGTTTCTTGAGTTAAAGGAAAAGAAACTTGAACAAAGGGAGAAAGATTTGGAGTTAAAACAGAGAGAAATAGAAGAACGAGCAATAGAAGCAGAGACTCGTAAGAGAACTAGGCTTGAATATGAGTCTCCATTGTCGACAGAGAAGGGTAGAGATGGTGAGACTCTGATTCTCCCTGGAAAAAAGCATAAACCCATTACAGATTCGGCTTTTGTAGTTCCAGCTTCTACATCTTCTCATGTACAAATAATTGAAGCACATGAAGGAGAGACTGAAGAAGCTGTCTCCATCATTGGCATTGATGAGGATCCTGAGCCATTCACTTGTCCTGATCTTGCAGCTGAAACTGAAAATGAACATATAAGTGAAGTACAGAGAAGAGAGGCTCATGAAGTTGTCTGCATAGATGAAGTTGTCTGCATAGATGAAGATGAGCCATTCACTTGTCCTGATCCAGACTTTCACGAATTTAACAACACAATAAGCTCTTTCGCTGTTGGTCAAGTATGGGCTCTATATGATCCTATAGATGATATGCCTCGATACTATGCTCAGATCAGGAAAGTATTGAAACCTCAGATGGGTTTACGGGTGACATGGCTCGAATCAGTACAGACATCAGAAAATGAGGAACCAATTCCTGCTTGTGGGAGATTCAAACATGGAGAATCAGAGTCAGAGACCAGAAGCCACTTGATGTTTTCTCATGAGATGTACTGCATCAAACGTGGCAAAAATGTCACAATAAACCCGAGAAAAGGCGAGACGTGGGCCCTTTTCAGAGATTGGACCAAGACTTGGAAGCGTCACAGTGAGCAACACAAGTCTCCTTACAGATACGACTTTGTGGAAATCCTGACTGAATTTGACAGTGATCGAGGCATTGGAGTGGGCTATCTAGGGAGAGTGGAGGGATTCACATCATTGTATAAACATGCTGAGCAAAATGGTCTTGTCAAAATTATGGTATCATGTGATGAAATGCTTAAGTTTTCTCATAGAGTTCCGTCTTTCAAAATGACTGGAGATGATAAAGAAGGAGTCCCAGCTGGCTCTTTTGAGCTAGACCCTGCCGCTGTCCCTCGAGAGTATCTTAAAGATGCTAAGGTCAAAAAAGAAAAGATTGAGCCCATAGTCTTGGTTTGAGTTAAGTGTAAGTCTGATGTGTTCACTGTTCTTTATCTATAAAATGTATTTAGAAGATGCATGGAACTGTATCTGTATTCCTTGGAACCTGGATATGTATCTTAATGAATTTCTTTATCAGGTAGAAATCCTCTTTATTTCATGACTGTGTTTACGATATCATCGTGGTAATATCAGATTTTTTTAAGCAGCTTGATCTAAACTGCAATTACATAATCAAAGGATAAGAATGTGAAAGGGAAGGAATGCAACTGCATTGGAGAGTTCTTGTGTATAATTATGAGGTGATGAGATGTTAATGAAGACTTGAGAGCCGTTTCAAAGTTATTGACTTCTTGTTTTGTTTTTAACAGTTTGGTTTTGATTGGGGTCAAGAGAGTCTCTCTGTGTTTCTGTCTTTGTGTGGTTATTTTCGTTCATGCATAATCTGGAATTGACAAAGTTCCAATAAGTTTGAAAAAGATTAAGAACAAACATCATGTTGTCTTGTCTCTCAACATTGTTATTTTGTGATTTGGTTCCATTGCTTACCTGTGAGATTTGAGATATAAAATGTTAGGATTATTAGAGATATCTAAGTACTTACCTGTGAGATTTAAATTGTATGAATATTTTGAGTTTGATTAATTGGCATTGTGGTCAGCTCCACAACGAAACCTCTACATCTTTCTTGTTCTTGGTTTTGGATATGGGATTTTTTTCCTGGAACTATCAGAGTGTCAAGTGTTAATCTTTACTAGCTTTGGCAAAGCAGTCTTGCTCTTTTATGAAAAATGATTTGTGTAATTTGAATTAGGTTCTGTTGGTTTATTATAATTGCTTAGATTTCATTCTTCTCTATAACAAAACTTGATAAGTACTCTTGTATAGGCCCCAAGAAAGAGTTTGAACTTCAGACTTTTAGTATTTGCAATTTTGTTAACTATTTTCCCTAATTTGCAAATCAAACCCCTAATTCTGAAACTCTATAATTGTAAGCGAGATTCTGAACAAAAGAAAGCTATTTGTAATTGGGTTTTGAGAAAAGGAGAAAACTTTCGACGATCGGAGTACGAAAATGGCGGTACAGTGGCTTTTGGTGTGTCACGGGATGATGACGTTAACGGTGGTCATCTCCTTCCTCTGTGGTCAATGGCCAATCTTCAAAGGCACACCTTTTCAATGGATTCACTACTTCATCACTTTCGGCGCTTACGATTACTTCCTGTACTACTTCTTCTCATCTGATTGATTCTTCCATACTTCTCCGTTTGATCTTAGCTCAATTAGGGTTCCTCTGATCGTTCTCTGTTGTGGTGTTGCAGGAGATTTGTTGGATTGGTGTTTGGTTCCAAGGGTACGGACGTGATTCTGTCTGTGGAGTATTTCTGCTGCGATCGTCCTAATCCGATACTGCAAGTGAGTTTTTTTTTTAAGGAACAGAAGAATCCATTGCTCTTGAATCTTTATAGGCATTGTGGTCAATCCGGCAGCCAAATCTCTACATTCTTCTTGTTCTTTGGTTTTGGTTTCAAGAGTTGGTGATTAGACTTCTTGGAGATTCTTCTTGTTCTTGGTTTTGTTCTAGACTTGGTCAATTAGACTTCTTGGAGATTCGTTTTTGTGATTGACACTTCATTTTAAGATGATCTTGAGTGGTTCCTTTTCTTGAATTTGAGATATATTATCAGATGAATCTTACTTACCTGCGAGATCAACACATGATTTGAGTTTGTTTAGTTGTTCTAAATCTTCTTTATTATCAGATTTACATAAAGCGATTTTCTACTGGGTTATGTAGGTCATATATATAGCCATTATGGGATCAACCTACTTTTTGACTGCAAAATCTTCCTTCATCTATATACCTGGATATTATATTGGCGATGTTCACAAGTAAGGCCTGCTTCTTTTTTTACTGTTTCAAATTTTATGCATATCCCACGTCATATCCTTTAAATCATCGTATTTGATTTTGTAGGTACACAAGCTTTCTAACTGTTATTGTTGGTGCCATACTTTTCTTATTAACAAGCTTTTCTGATCCAGGTACTGTGAACGCTGAGAATGTTTCACAGTACATTTCTGCTTACCCCTATGATGATATCATTTACTCGAAGAAAGAATGTTCTACGTGTAAAATCCCAAAGTGAGTGCATCGAAAATTCTGTGGTAAACTTATTAAAGAACGTATGTGCTTTATGTTAAAACTATACATGCATCTTCCTCATTCAGGCCTGCTAGATCCAAGCATTGCAGCATCTGCAACCGCTGTGTGGCTCGGTTTGATCATCATTGTGGGTGGATGGTTTGTACTCATCCCCTGAGCTCTGTCCCGTTTTTTTTTTGTTTTCAGTCTTCTCAACATTTCATACCAACATACGTGAACATTTCTCTACCGGTTTCAGAATAACTGTATAGGCGAAAGGAATACCAAATATTTCATGGCTTTCCTCTTGTGGTGAGCTTTCGTTTTAAAATTCTTTGCATTTACTTGGAAGATTCCATGCTGTGTTGGTGTCCTCATCATTTTTTTGGTTTTATGTTAAATGTTTTTTTAGTGCTTTGTAGGCATTTCCTTCTTTGCTTGTACGGAACAGTAGCCATCGGATTTATTCTTGCTGGGCGAGTAAAAGAACTCCGTGTTGTACATATTTTAACTGGTACACATCAACGTGCCATTGTTATGTTAACAGTCGAATCTTCCTAAATTGGTTCCGATGTTGTTATCCCTTTCGATTCTTAATGTGGTCTTTCTTTCTCTTTGCTGCAGTCTATTACGGCGTAGATAAATCTTTTCGAAGCTTAGCTCCTCGAGTTTTACAGGCGAGTAAACCTAACTAACAAATTCTTGATCTCACAGTTTGCTCATGTGTGTAAATCTTGTAACATAACAAAGTGTCCAATGTCTTTGAAACAGTGGCTAGTTGGTACATACAACACCCAGATTCTCCTAATGGTGTTTCTCGCCATTGTTTCTCTCCTCCTCGCTGGCTTCTTCGCTTACCACGCAAATCTCTGCTTAACCAACACAACAACTAATGAGGTTTTATCTTTTCCGTCTCTGCAAATTAAATCTGTCTCTCCCGCTTAATAACAGGTTTATTTGGGGTTTCTTTACTTTCTGATAGACGTTTAAGTGGAGAGAGTATATAAGCTTGAAGAAGAGGCTCAGTGAAGCTAAGGCGAGCGCTGCTGCTCTCAAGGCTGGAATGTCATGTGAATCAAAGAAGCCAACAGCTGCAAGCAAATGCTTCGGGATTTGTGGAAGATCCTCTGCCCATGAAGAAGGAAAAGCCAAAGCCGAAGCGATAGTGAAACGGAATTTGTATGATAGAGGAAGTTTTCAAAACGTTTCTGAGATTGTTTTCCCTTTATCATCAAGACCATCTTCTTCCAGCAAATCAAAACGAAAATCGGAATAGTTCGTCCTTTCTTACATGTATTTTACTACTTTATAGCTTTTGGTAGCTTTGACTGGTTTTTGTGATTTGGTCCTCAAATGCAATTTAGATTTTTACATGTTACCTTATACATGATCTGATATTTATATGGTAAAAGACTAACTATTTGTGATTGTGGAAAATACTGGAAATATATAACGCTGCGTTTAGAGTCCATTTGCGATGAACTAAACACTAAACTTATACATTCTCCGCAGCGCAGAAAAAGAAAAAGAACAGAAACAGTGTCTGCAAATAATGTTTTCTTCACTCACAACTTAATCTTCCATTACATTCTACTAATTATGCATATCTACACATAATTTCTGAAGAAAGAAATCAGATGCATACTTACTAGTCGGATTGTGGAACTGTGCTCAGTCTATGACTACGGTGCGCTTGGAATTGCTATAGGGTCAAGCTCCCAGTAGTATCCTCCTTCAACTAACCTTGTTGCCCTCTTGGGCTGTCTGATAGCCGGAATCTGATGAGAAAATCTACTCATTTCTGCCTTTGGAATGTCTATTAAACCCACATTCGACCCTTGTTTCCTCTGAAATTTGTATACAGAACTAGAGCCTATAGCAGTCAAAGCCACCACCTTTACGATCTCCCCATCACAGTTATCTTCCACCACTTCTACAATGTCAGGTTCTTCGGTGCTATCACAGTTCTTATACAGAGCCCATATGTCACCTTTCCTTGGGTATACTTTGACTATAAACTTCTTACTACTGTCGAAGGGTTTGACCTGATGTGAGAAGCTCGCATGAGGAAAGATTTTGGGTCTTCCTTTGAGCAACTTGAATTCCCCACAAGACACTGTGCGGGTCACGGGTTCTGTAGATGGCGGATACAGCTCTGTCGGGGTTCCACGTATCACGAACTTAGGCTTGGTTTCAATTTTCTTGATCTTGACATACTCTGAGGGCATTCGATTGTCATTTCTATAAATAGCCCATATCTGATCAATTCCGAATTTGTCTTCAGATCTCAGGTTCTTGAAGTCAGAGGCATTTCTTCGAGGTGTTTTGCAATTTGGTGACACATGAGTTGTATTAGGGGACTCATACATAGAACCACCCAACTGAGTTGGCAAATCATTCTGCTTGGACAGAGACGGTATTTCACCATTGCATCCTTGTTTCTTCGAGCTCTCTCCTTCCTGACTCTCTGCTGGTTGGTGAATGCCATTGGGAGATTTTCCGACTCCCAAAGAATCTGTCACAAGACCCTTATCAGTTTTTTTTGGGGTATTCATCTTATTGCCTTGTTTAGCACTTTTCATCTCATCTCCTTGTTGGCTTGGAATTGTTTGAAGACGAGGAGATTTTCGAAGTTTGAAAACATCTGTGGCCTCACCATTCTTTCTGGACTTGTTTGGTGTGTTCTTTTCATCAACTCCCAAAGAATCTGTCACAAGACCCTTATCCATTTTCTTTGGGATATTCATCTTGTTGCCTTGTTTAACACATTTCTTCTCATCTCCTTGTTGGCTTGGAATTGTTTGAAGACGAGGAGATTTTCGAAGTTTGAAAACATCTGTGGCCTCAGCATCCTTTCTGGACTTGGTTGGTGTGTTCTTTTCATCAACTTCAGAAGAAGAAAAAATATGGCTTCTGTTGCTTCCGCCTATGACTTCCCCAAGATTACTGCATACACCATTATCATCATCAGATTTTCGACGTTTCCTTGGAGATGGTGCGGTCTCTGGAACTGGCTTGGCCTTTGATCCAACCTTGTAAGCTTCGGGATAAGGGCCGTCCGCTTTACCTTTCATGATCTCGCTATCCATCTCCATATCAACCGCACTAAACTGAAATATATCTTTTGGTAATGCAGCAGGATCCAGTTCATATGAGTTAGGTGGAACAGATTCTTTCTCTTTTCCAGTAATTTTGACTGCTGGTACTTTGTGAGAAAATCTAAGCATATCTTTCGGAGTAAATTGAATCTGGCAAATTCCATTCTGCGCCTCCCAGTGAAATAGCTGAACAGACCCTTTAAGTTTTCCCAGATAGGCCACTCCAACACCGTTAAGATCATGAAAATCACTGACAATTTCCACAAAGTCATACTTATATGGTAATTTATGCTTTTTTAGACTAGTGTTCCATTCCGCATTCCATTCTCTGAAAATAGCCCATATTTCCCCTTTCCTTGGATAGATGGAAACAATTTCGTTGCAATGCAAGTTATGCATTTGACCTGAAAAGATTGAGCGGTCCTCAACTTCCTTTGTTGTCCCATATTTGAACTTTCCACAAGCAACTGGAATAATTTCATCATTATTACCCAGTACAGGATCAAGGTAGGTAATCCGCAGCTTGAACTCGCCATTCAGGACATTCTTTATCTGAGCATATTTCCTAGGCATACCATCTCTAGAATCAGTTGTAGTAGACCACACTTGATTGACAGCAAAATCTTCTGTTTTCCATTCAACATCAAACACACTGAACTCTAGATCAGGTACATCAAGCGGATTATGATTTTCATTAGCTTTGTATCCTTTTTCAACTCTACCAATCTTGCTCAACAAGGCTGCATCTTCTCCATTACCATCACAGCCTTCACTAACTTTGTTTTTGCATGACAAGATGTCTTCATTTCCAGAATGCTCATTTTTCTTGGCCTTTCCTTTATAAGCATGTGAAGAAGCAGAAGAAACACCAGAATCAGCCAGTTCAGATGACTGATTATCCTCAGCAGTTTGCTTCGTATTAAACTCAGACTCAAATTCACAAGCTGATTTTGTCTTTTTATTTGGAGGGCTGACACAATCACCATCGCTTCCCCCCTTTGAGCAAAAAACCTGTGGCTTTTTCCTCGATGACTTCCTCTTATTATATACATATGTATCTGTTTTAGCCCCAGCAGAGCTATCAACTTCAAAACTCTTAGAGGATTCCTCGACAGCTTTTCTCTTCTTTTTGGCTGTCTGATTCTTCTTTGGAGCTGATAAATCAGGTATTGACTTTGCTGCACTAGTATGTGGTTCTTTTACCTGATGCTGCGGCTTCAATACATCAGTCTTAGGTATTTCAGCAGAATTATTCGTCGCTGTCTCACTATTCTGGGGGGTTCTTCCTTCAGCGTCATTCTCTGTACAACCCTCATCTTTCTTGGGTTCCCTGTTAGCAGCACCTTTTTTCTGTTTTTCTTGATTCTTCTTGTTGAGTTTTTCTCCAGCTGTCCCATTCTTACCCATCTCAGCTGCTGAACCGCCTGATTCTGCTCCTGTAGAAGCATTTTGCCGAGATGTATTATACATCCCTCGATATTGAAATTCCTTTCTACCAGCAGTTGAACTACTAGGTGGCACTCCATCACACCTCATGTTGCAGGCGACATAAGATTTCCGGCAACTGGAACAGTACATAACTGTATTCATATATTCTCTCAGGTATTTATACCACTGGCCACAGTGCCTGCAACGTGTCCAGAATGTGTAAACACTTGCAATATTCTCCGCATCACTGTTTGTAGCTTCACAGTGGCGACCCGAGTATGCATGCACATGCTTGTTAGCAAGCATTGAATGGGATCTGTATCTGTTATCATACTGAGAACGTTTTATCTGATCAGAAAGCAATCTGTTTGCTTCCCCAACCAACTTGAAAGCAGCCTCTGCACCAGCAAACTTGTTTTTGTCAGGATGGAGAAGCAGCGCAAGCTTTCTGTATTGCTTCTTGATTGTATCAGCATCAGCAAATGGCTGAACCTGAAGGACACCATACCAATCGTCAAGCCCTTTGATTTTCTTAATTGCAGAAGAATGCACATCACATATGGTTATCATCTGCACTATGTTTTCGAGATTGGGGAAGAGTCTTTGCGCCTTGGTAACAAACTTTTGAGCTCCAACAAAATCACCAGCCTCCATCTTTTCCTCTGCTAATTTTCTCGCCCTAATAGCATCTTCTTTATTGCATTCCATTGCAACGATAAGCCTCACAAATCAAACCTCCAAAGTCAGATAAGTCTATGAAACAGCAGCAGAGTCAGGGAACCAATAACTCATAGTCCCTACAATATACAAAAAAAAGCAGTCACTCACATTGTTATAAACCTATCAGTTGCTAATCCTAATCCGTCACTCTAAAACTCAGTGTTAGCAAAACTCTACTTAGTGCTTACTAGTTCAGAGACAAGAACTGTGAGAGCTGTGAACAATGCGCACATCCTTCATCACATAAATAAATCCAAAGGCTTAAAGAGTCTGGACTGAGAGGATATTACTCTTCCGTGTTGAATTTGTAAGGCTGCAAGTAAAAACCAAAGCATCAGTGGAAAGCACAATAATCGAAATCAAACCTAAGATTAACATTTTTAGACGAGTATGGGAATGCAATTAATAGAATAGCTTAGCACTAATTACTAAGGAGAAACGAAATTGAGAGGGCGATTCGTCTTCCCGAAACACACAAAATCAATGGAGAAACGCAGGAAATCAAATTATTATGATCCAAACACTAAATCACCAGAGACAATACAAAGAGCTTTAGCAAATCGAAATCAGAGATCAAAATGTGACTGCATGTACAAGTTCCGATCAAAACGAGGCAAGCAACGGGAAAAAAAAACCATGCGAAGAGGGAGAAGCAAAACCTGAGGATAACGGAGAAATTCCCAGAATCCGTCAGCATAGCCAGAAGCTCGAAGTGAAGGGAGAGACGAAACGTAATCGGGGTTCAATACTTTGAAGGATCGATAAGAAGAAAATTAAGAACCCTAAATTTGAAAATGGAGTCTGAACTAAAATGAGAAAAAACGGAGAGGGAAGTGAAATATTACCAAGGAGGGAAATTTCTTTTTTATTTTTCTTTTAATTAATTTTCTGGGTGACGCTTTGGTAATTGAAATGAATTACCAACGAAGATTTAGCTAAATGACAATTAGAAAAGGACAAATATTCCATTATTTACAACGTAAATTATTCAATTACCCGTAAACCAGTTTTAAGCAATTTAGACCGGTTTAGAGAGATTGGTGAAGGAGAGGAGTGATAGAGAGAGCGAGATTAGGGTTCTGAAAGGGGAAGCGATTGAGCTTATGGGAAAGGTTGAGATGGACAAGGAACAGTTGAGGAAGGTCTGTGAGTGTGAGGAGGTGAATCGGTTAAAGAATATGGAGATAGTGATTGGGAGATTGAAATCTGAAAACGATAGATTGGTGAAGGAGATCGTAGGGGTGAACAAGGAGATGATTGGTCTGGAGAAGACAATTGATGGATTGAATAGAGAGATCGAACATCTTTTGAGTGAAAAGAATGAGATGGAGATTGTACAGATTGGAGAAATCGAGGAGTTGGAGAGAAAGTCAGACAAGTTCAATGAGACTGTGCAGAATTTGACAAAGGAAGACAAGGTTTTGAGGGATCGGGTTGGAAAAGAATCTTGATGACTCCATGGAGAAAGAGAGAGGAATGATGGTGGCATTAGGGAAAGAGAGGACAATCAAGGAATCTGAGCTTGAGAGATTAATGGAGGAGAAGAAGAAACAGATGGAGATGGTCAATGAGCAGTCATCTGATAAGGACAAGTTGATTGAGCTTCAGGAGGGTATTTCTAGTCGGGAGGCAAATCTTGTTGAGCTGAATCAAAAGGCTGTTGAGCTAACTCATGCTTTGGCTAAGCTACAAAAGGATTATGATGATCAAACCAAGATTAACGATAAGTTTATCTGCAAAGTTGGTCAGCTAAGCTATGCCCTTGCCCAAGTTGAGAAGAAGCTCAAGAGAGAAGAAGCTGATAAGACACTTGATGAGGAGAAGAGGCATGTAGAGCATCTTAAGGCAGAGGTTTTAAAATCAGGGAAGAGGCTTGCAAAAACTCTAGAAGATTTTGAGAAAGTTAAGATCGCGCGTGAGAGTTTGTTTTCAAGCGAAAAGGCTGCACTCGAGAAAGCTATGGCTGCTCTGAAAACAGAACTAGAATCCGCTGGAATGGATGCAGAACGCAACTTGGGGATGCTAAAGAATGCTGCATCTATGTTGTCTCAACCAGAGAACCGAGAAGATAGATTGATTAGCGAGCAACAGAATCGAGAAAAGGGAACAGAATCCTATGCGGTGGAGCTAGAGTCGATAGAGAAAGCATTCAGAAACAAAGAGGGCATAATTGAGAAAATGAAGAAAGAAGCTGAGATAATGAAGCAATCAACGCACCTCTGGTTTCATATATCGCGATTTTTGCTGCTGCATGTTTTCTCCATGCCGTCAAATAACCACTATCATGACATGAGTTTTATCAGTATCATATGAGCTTGCGAATGATGTTGTTTAGGTCTCTGCAACTATCATATGAATTAGTATAATCTTTCTCCTTGAGCTCTATATAGTTGTGCATCTATTGATTTTCTTTAGCCATTTTTTGACTTTTGAATTGGCCTGTGAGAAAGCAAGCAAGCAAAAAGGTTTAGAAACTTTGCTTTAACATTCTTTAAAATCAGAGAAGATGGTTGCTCTGTCTGTTTCCCGAATTTGCAAGCATAATCCAATGTCTTCTTTTCTGATGGACACTGCTTCATATTGCTGGAACTTTGTTTTGTTTATTCACATGACTCACAAGATGTTCAGAGACTCATTTGGTATTCAATGTCTTAGGCAAAGAGAACAACCTAAAGAGTCACACTCTATTAACTTACTTAGTTGGCCCTAAAGATCATATCATTGCCTCGTAGATGCAAATATGATTTGTTTAACCTCACAAACTTAATTAGTAATGTCTCCTTTGAGTCTAAGCTTTTCTTCTGTTTCCTCAGGGTCTTTGAGCGTTTCTTTCCTCTGGTGTGTGTAGAAGAGTGGAGGATGCTTGGGGCTCATTGATGGAACTAACATCAGATGATGACATAACAACTTTGACTGGCGAAGTAAAACCTGAAACTTCAAGTAATAAGCATCACATTAACTGATTTTTTTTTTATCATAATGAACAAGGGAAAAGAGAAGAAAGCTTGCCATGATTCTCCTCCTCTACACCACTATGTTTCACAAGCACGGTTTTCGTCAGTTTCACATGAGTGTTGTTCGATGAATCCACATGATCTTTCCTTGGACTTAGTTCTCTTGTACAATCATCATCAACCAATTTCCTAAGCTGAATGAGTTTCCTTTCCCATGCTTTGACTTGACTCTTAACCAAATCAAGTTCTTTTCTGTTCTCTTCAATGTCCTTCTCCTTCAATTCTACTTCTCGAGACTTGTTCTCAAGCTGTTTGTCAGATTCTTCGATCTGCTCAACAATCAGTGACAACTCTTTCTTCTTTGAAGCTGTTTCATCTTCCACTTCTCTCTTACGCTCTTGAACATTACGAGCCTCAGTGCAACGCCTCTTAATCTCGGCCATAACCTGTCCCAATTGGTTATCCTTTGACTCAAGCTCTCTCTGAACCCTTGTCAAAGAATCGAGCCTCACAGTCAGTAGATTCCTCTTTGACCTCAGTTCTTCAGTACACTCTTCCACCAATTTCTTCAAATCACCAGCTTCAGACTTTTCTGCTTCAAAAGTTTGACTCTTTTGCTCAAAACACAACATTCTTAGTATCCGGATACACTCACTCAACATTCTAAACTCTAAACAAAATCCACCATAAACGAAAGCATTTGAAGAAATTTTCCAGCAGAAAATTAAAAAAAAAAAAAACCTAAAATAGGCAAAGAAATTACCTTACTGTAGAAGAAAAATGACGAGCGAGAAGATTCTGAAAAAGGAGACGAAGATTAATGGAGCGAGAAAAGAAACTTCTTTGGTGGTTCCGTACTATACTAGGGTTTGCTCTTTATCAACTTTCCGTCTGCCCCGCCACTGATGCTCTAGCTCTACCTGAGATTGTTGCCGTTGTGAATCAAGAGAATGGGAAAGATTGTTTAACGGGCTTTTTTGGAAGAGTGAGACCCATTGGGCTTTTAGTCGTTTTAAAGACTTAAATCAAACAATGTATTTTCCGACTAGTTTAAGGTTTGAACTTTGAAGCATAGATATAAATGTTTGTAGATGGGTTTTAGCCTTTAAGGGGGTTACCTTAGTCAAATTTCTTAATTAGAGTGGCAAGCACTAATTACTTATCTATCAAGCTACCATAAACAGTGCAAATAACATTTACATAAAACCTTCATTAAAAAGCTAATGTTTTTGGTCCATAAATCAAAGCCGATTGTTAGATCATTGTCGGTTGTGGCTCTCATACCATGATAGAGTGATGAGAGATATAGAATTAGAAGAATATGTTATTGTTCTCATAAGAATAAATTTATATGAGAGATACACTTATATAGGAAATGAATTAGCCTAATTATCTAACTAATAGAATCATATAAGATATATACATATCTCTAGAATATATTCATAATATCTTCCTTTAATCATATGGATCTTCTAAATCCTTCTATAAACAATTCTATTTTATTCTATTTTTCACGCGTATACTAAATTTATTTAACAAAATGGATTATAGTTCGAGTAATCATGAAAAGATTATGCTATAATTCGAACAGATTATGTACAAGTTCACATAAAGAATGATCCAAAGTTTTTATGTGAAAATATGAACTACTAGTCATATTATGCTATAAGAATGATCCAAAGTCTTTATGGTCCAAAGTTCAAAGAGATTTCATCACCAATCTCTAGGCTTTCTATAACAAAGTTTTTCAAGGAAGTATTTCGAATACTGTATCTTCCTGTTGGTCTTGTTGTTGACTCTTCTAACCCATGTGTTACTTTCAACTCTTTACCATTTGGTAATAAGAGTTTAATCTTCTTCAACTCCTTCATGCGAGTGTTCTCCATGAAAGTCTTGTCGAAACGAAGTCTTCCGGAGTTTAAAATGTATGTCGTAATCGTCACTGTCATGCGTGAAATTTGTGAAGTTGAACTCTCCCCATGAGCAAACGTAGTCTTTTGGAGTTTAAAATATCTGTTGTAATATTAATTTTAAATCTAAACCAAATTTTCTAAACATTTATATTTTAAAATATAGAATAACCGGTTTTTAATTTTAAATATGTTTTGATCCAATCCAAATAAAAATATAAAATATTCGGTGTAAGATTTTGAAGTAAATTTTGTACGAGATCATATTTGGGTAAATATTTAAACCCACCCAATAAAAAAAATACTTCAAAAATATTAGTATAAATAACTAAATAAGGGAAAATTCCCAAAAAAACCTCAAGTATTTTTTATTTGGAAGTTTAATGTTTAATATTTTTTGGTTGGAATAAAAATACATTATTTAAATATTACTGGTCGAAAAATACATCATGTTAAAATTATTGGTAATTTCAAACTTGCGACTTAACAGTTAAATTTTAACCTCTCGTATTTTAATAGATATCTACAACATGTTTGGAGGATATGATAATATTAAGAGTATTACCGTAGTCTGGTGGAGTGGTGGTAAAAGGTTCGTTTTGCAACCCACAGAACCCAGGTTCGATTTTCCGATCCGTTTTTTTTTTTTTTAATATTCTCTTTCTCACCTCCTTCACAAAAACCCTACGGCGAACATCGCCGCCGATGTAAGCTTGAGATTCGAACATGTACCGTTGCCCCGTAGGGCTTGAGATTCGTTTATGACTGAACTTTTTGTTTTTGTTTTGAAGGACATGATTTCATCATCATCTTATCTTCTTCTCCAACTAACCTTTGTTTTTTAAAAATGGTTTTAAAGGAAACGTGAACCAGTGGTGAAATCTCTGGGAATTAAATCCAATTTGAACTTGTTAATGTACAGAATACTGTAATTAATGGGTGAATTAGGGAACTAATTCTTCAATTGAATCTTCAAATTGGTGAAACGAATTACATAACATCACGATTTAGCATAAATGAGCGATATAGCGTCTTGAAGAAGTAAGGAGGAAGAAGAAGGAGATAAGGCGGAAGGCATTTAGCAGTCATGCGACAGCTATGAGATTTGCGTAAATAGCAGAAGGAAAAGGAGAGATATAGCAGTGGTATAACAAAGGAGAAAAAAAAAACGACAAGATGTCAATGGGTGAGATTCGAACCCAGGTTAAATGAGTTACAAAACCAAACCGCTACCTCTAGACTACGGTGATATGTTCGTATATTAATCTAAATATGTTTAATATATCTATTTAAATACATGGATATTAAACTCTTCACACAGTTAATGATTCCGTAACGTCCATTAACGGCTGTTAAGCCGCAAGTTTGAAATTACCAATAATTTTAATATGATGTATTTTTCGACCAACAATATTTAAATAATGTATTTTTATTCCAACCAAAAAGTATTGGGCATTAAACTTCCAAATTTTTTTTTAGGAATTTTCCCGTATAAATAATCACTTTCTATAATGTAAAATATCACATCAAAACTAACAAACCATTTTAGCGTAGGTGCATCTATTGATTTTCTTTCAATAGCAAGCTTCTTTTTGTGAAAAAAACAAATTGTCATTATGTATTAAGGCTTACGTTTACTAAAAACAAAATGATGATATGTTGAATCCATCAAATGTTCGAGGCAAAGAGAACAACCTAGAGAGTCGCACTCTGTTAACTTACTTAGTATCTTCTACTAGTTGGCCCTAAAGATCATATCATTGCCTCGTAGATGCATGCAAATATGATTTGTTTAACCTCACAAGTCACACACTTAAGTAATAATGTCTAAGCTTCCTTAACGGGCTTAGAGAATGGGAAAGATTGCTTATCGGGCTTCTTTGGAAGAGTGAGACCCATTGGGCTTTTAGTCGTTTTAATCAAACAATGTATTTTCCGACTAGTCAAAACATTTATGGTTTGAACATTGAAGCATAAATAAATGTTTTTAGATGGGTTTTAGCCTTTTAGGGTTACCTTAGTGAAATTTCTTAATTAGTGGCAAGCACTAATTACTTATCTATCAAGCTACCATAAATAGTGCAAATAACATTTACGTAAAACCAAAAGAGATGATGAATTTAAGCAGTACCTACGATGAAAACAAAAGGGTTCTCTCTCTCTCTCTCTCTCTCTCTCTCTCCAGATATAAACCATAGAAACTTAGCCTCTGATCTACCATATTAGCACGAGCTATATACAAGCCTGCTTTGGTTCATATAGCAACAGTAGGATCTAGATAGTTCAAGCAGGGTTTAGCATCTGGTTTAGGAACCTGAGGATTCACGCTTGAACTTTGAGCAGAAGCCGGATTAGGAGAATTAGCTTGTGGATTTGATGAGGAAGTGTCATGCTTCACAGAGCAACGAACTAGAGGGGGTGAGTTTTCTCTTTGAATCATGAGCTTGGCAATGAGGTACCCTGGGATATTGATTTCGAGCTTATAATCTCCCACAAGTTCAAGTATTGCCCTCAGTCTTCCTGCATCTTTTTCTTTAGCCTAAAGGAAGAACCAAAACATAGAATCAGTAACTAATTAATCAATTACAAGAACAGGGGAGTGAACAAAAGAGTTAAACCTGGGAGGATTGCGTTGGTCTTTTTCCCAGGACAGACCATCTTAAATTGATGATCTCTTTCTCTAACAAGTGTGAGGGTGAGAACTCTTCTTCATTAAGCTCAAACAGACATATAAGCCGGACTGCAGGAATATATTGCTCTTTTTTGATGAGCTCTTTAACAAACTCTGCAAAAGATAAAGAGTTAAACCTTGATTCATACTTCTTTATATGTGCCAGAAAATTTATTGAAAAAATGTGTTTCTGAAGATCTTATGGCTATAAAACTAACTTCGGATTTCACAGTTGAGACTAAGAGATTTGAAGAGTCTTGGAGCCTGTTCGTAATGAGCAATAGACGAAGCAAGTAGAGCAGCTTCTTCTTCATTTATCAAATTCTTTAATCCATATGCCACAATGAACAGAAGAAAGGCTAAGGCCTCGAGAGATGATTTCGGAGCTTCGATGGTTATCTTCCCTTTCCATATAGTTGCCACTTGTGTGGCTTTGTTTTGCAGTTGAGGATCATCTCGTCGCTGAATTTCTATGAGCTCCTCCAAACAAAGAACCAAAATCTCAAGAAATGAGTCATCTTGTAATCCCAATTCCCCACTAATATATTCCTGCACATCTTCCAGAACAAACTCTGCTGGATTAGGTAAAGCTCTAAGATGATCGGCAACTTCATCGCGCGAAAGAGAAGGTGGGAATTCATGATGCGTGAGAGCATCTTCACTAAATGGTGCAGTTTCTGCTGCAACTGACTGCTCCTCATGCTTAACAAGAACAGTGCTCATATGTCTCAGCCGTTTCTTCTTCAAATCAAGCTCTCTTTGAATTTCACCCAACTCTTTAGATTTAATGTCAAGCTGTTCGCCAGAGATCGTTATCAGATTGTTTAATGCTTGGACTCTCTTTTCTTTGACATCAATGTCAAATTTGAAGTCCTTGCTTGATTCTAGAACACATTCCAACTCCATCTCTTTAGCAACAAGCTCTTCAGATAGTCCCTGGATTAACTGCCAGATAGAATCACGTTGAGTATGCAAGACAACAAGCTCATTGGTATGTTGATCAATCAGCTTTTGGATTTCTCCTAATTCTTTGGATTTCGAGTCAACTGTATTACCGCAAACTGTTACCCTGTTGTTTAAAGAATGTATCATCCTCTCTTTCTGCTTAAGGTCAGAGCTGGAAAGCTTGATGGATTTTCTCACATATCCCAACTTCTTATTCGCAGAAAGTAACTTAAATGACCGAATCTTAAGCAGTTTCCGTCGCGACTCTAGTTGCCTATCTATCGTCGCAAGCTGTTTGCCAGATTCTTCAATCTTGTTAAGAATCAGTGCCAAATCTCTCTTCTTTCTATGCATGACACCAAGCTCATTGGTTTGTTGCTCTATCAGCTTTTGGATTTCTCCTAATTCTTTGGATTTCGAGTCAATCGTCTTACCACAAACTGATACCCTGTGGTTGAGTGATTGTACCATCTTTTCTTTCAGCTTTAGGTCAGAATTGGAAAGCTTGATGGATTCTCTCACGCATTCCAACTCAGTCTCTTTAGAAACTAGTTCCAGTGACTGTATCTCAAGCAGTCTCTGCTGAGACGCCAGTTGCTCATTCACAGTTGTAAGCTGCTTGCCAGATTCTTCAATTTTGGAAAGAACAAGTTCCAAATCTCTCTTCTTTATATCTGTCTCCTCTTCCATTTCTCTCTTAAGCTGAGTGACTTTATTTTTATCTGACTCTATCTGATTCTTAAGCAGAGCTAGTTCCTTTTCTTTACCTTCAACCTCCTGCCTAACCCTTTCAGATCTTACATTTAAATTACTTGCTTCGGTCTCCGCTGCTTTAATCTCTTTAGCCCTTTCTTCCATCTCAGAGGAGCTTCTGCAAATAGTCTCCAAAATCTCCTTGCGTGTCTGCTCCTTAGAAACAAGCTCTTCAGATAGTATTTGGATAAACTGCTTGATAGTGTCACGCTGATTCTGCAAGACACCAAGCTCATTGGTCTGTTGGTCAATCAGCTTCTGGTTTTTCCCTAATTCTTGAGATTTCGAGTCAATCGTGTTACTACAGTCCGTTATCAAATTGTTTAGTGATTGTATCTTATTTCCTTTCAGCTCAAGGTCAGAATTGGAAAGCTTAATGGATTCTCTCATACTTGCCAACATCTTCTCTGTAGAAACTAGCTCCAATGACCGAATCTCAAGCAGTTTCTGTCGCGCCTCTAGTTGCTCATCTACCGTTGCAAGCTGTTTCTGACGCGCCTCTACTTGCTCATCTACCGTCGCAAGCTGTTTTCCAGATTCTTCAATCTGCTCAACAATCAATGACAACTCTTTCTTGTTTCTGGCTGTTTCATCTTCCACTTCTCTCTTACGCTCTTGAACATTACGAGCCTCATTGCAACGTCTCTTAATCTCGGCCATAACCTGTCCCAATTGGTTATCCTTTAACTCAAGCTCTCTCTGAACCCTTGTCAACGAATCCAGCTTCACAGTCAGTAAATTCCTCTTTGACCTCAGTTCTTCAGTACACTCTTCAACCAATTTCTTCAAATCACCAGCTTCAGACTTTTCTGCTTCAAAAGTTTGACTCTTTTGCTCAAGTTCTGAGCTCAAAATTTGCAGTTCCTTCTCCTTTAGCTCTAGCTCTCGCGACCTCTTTTTAATATTGGCTTCAACACTGTCAAAATGCTTGAGTAAACCTTTCAATTGACTGGTGTAGGTCAATATTCCAGACGCATCAGCTTTAAGTTTCTCCATTGATTTGCGGTGATTCTGTGTCTTTGACTCAATGCATTCTTCATAACTAGTCTTCTCCATTACAGCGAGCAAATAACAAAACGATTAACAGCGAACAAACCCAACCCACCACTCAAAGATGAAGACTTTCTGAAATTTTACTGTTGCAAACCTGATTCAAAAATAACAAAAGACATGAGATTTATAGCATGAACACAAAACCCATGAAATCAAATCAAAAGGGAAACGAGAATCTTAGATCTAAGAAAAAGTCTCCAGAAATCAACCTCACAGATGAAAAAAATGAAAGCTTTACTTTTTTTTTAGTTGTGAGAGGACGAACAGAGGAATATCAAGGCAAAGGTGAAAAACCCTAGCCTAAGCAACTACAAATCGTTGCTTATAATAACAGAAAAACAAGCTCAAACTGAAGTAAGAACTAAAAGCAAGTCACCTCAGAAGAACAATAAAAACCCTAACTTTGGTCTTTGAATCAAAGTGACAACAAAATTATAAAAAAAAAAAAAAATGTAGAGAGAAACGGCGAGAAAAGGAGAGTTTGAAGAGAGAATGAGCATGGTTTAGAGAGAAATAAAGAGTAAACCTAAGACTGATCTCTTTGTGCTAACAGAGTCTGAGTTTCTTCTGCTGGAGGTGGAAGAAGAAGAAGATGACAAAAGATAAATGGAGGGAGACTGAGAAGTAAAGCAGATAAATTAATGTTTCTTTTTTCTTTCGTTTTCTAACGTCTAATTTCTTTATTGAGCGAAAATTTAGAGATCGTTAGATTGAATGATATAACAGCCGTTGGATTAAGCTGACGTTGGTTTCCCTAACTCTAATGTTGTAGCCGTTGCGATTAGGGGACTAGGGAGCATGGCTAGATGGGCTGCTTGTTGTCTTGTTGGGCCTTACCATCCAACACCTGTTATATATTTTCCTGATTTTTAATTTTATTTTATAAATAACTTGTGATTATTCAAATTATCTGGTAGTAAAATCATGGAGGTCTTTCCATAGTGTACCTAGTGACATAAAAAGGCTGGATTTATGCACAGTCCAAGTAAGATTGCTCGATAATCTGTCAATCATACAACCACTGCAAAACAGTTTTTAGGTAGGCAAATAACACCTTGAGAAGCAACTTTTGTTGCTTTTACAGACTAAAATCATTCATCTCATACATGTCATAGGTAAATAGGGACTAATTAATAAAATCAATCTTCTGAGGTACATATTTCTTAGCTTAGAAGAGAAATTCCTCCCTCACCAAAACATTGCACAAGTAAAAGGAAATTTCAGCCACTAGAGCAATGAGAAACTAAACCGATCGACTATAAAAACAAGGGACACTTGTCTCTGTATGTAAATATATCCTGAATCTTTGCCGTCAGGATGGACAATAAAAGTGAAATTTTGCATCACTTTAGAGAATAAGATTTCGAAAAATGAAAGCAAAGAGTCTCTTCATATCGGCCTCATTGCTTGATTATGTCTCTGTTTGTTTTCTTACAATTCATCTAGTGCTCTTTTATGGTTAAAGATCACTTGATGAGATCACATTTTCAGCTGTTATATTTCTGATGGACATGACAGACCAGAAGGGGCAAGACTTGTTCAATGCACGTAAACACAGTTGGGGTTTTAGGGAGTTCTTGCCCTGTTTTAAAATTATTTATAGAGATGATGGATCTCTAGGTTACTGTTTAAGAGTATGTGTGTAAGTGTAACGAATCTGTGGTCTTAGAGAACAAGCTAGTTTTCAAAATAAAATAAAATGAAACATCCTTGTTTGTAAATTTAAAAACCATAATAATTTATCTCCTTGGATGAATCAGAATTGTGTAGAAATATCGACGATCGACTTGTTCGCCTTGTTGAGTGCAAGGAGGTCGTCATTGATTTTCTTCCGTATCCTTTTTGAGTGCCGCTTATAGTAATCCAGCTCTGTTTTTATTCGGGTCAGGTCAGTTTTTCCTCGTTCATACTTTTCTTTAACTTCCCTTTCCTCCTCCTCTTTTTCGATGATTTGATCCTCTATCCACCTCACATCTTTAACAACAGAGTCGAGTTTCTTTTGTTTCCTACGCAATTTTCGTGTAGTAGACGCCGACTGATCCTTTAGCGATTCCAACTCAGTCTTCTTTTCCTCAAGCTGGTTCATTAAAACTAAGTGATCGTGTAGTCTTTTCGTATTCTGTTCCTGAAGTGTGTTTAATTGCTGCTGAGAATCCTCAGATTCTTTTTCCAAATCCGATGACTCTAAAGTGAGAGTCCCCTTGCGTTGATGAAGTTCTGCAATCTCTATCCCTAGGGCTTCAATTTCACGTATTGAAAGAATCTTCGCTTCAAGTTCTTGCTTTCTCTGTCGTTGTTGCGCTTCTCTCGCAAATAACATCCGACCTTTATCAAATATGGCGTCTCGAATTGTCTTCAACGCAGGTGGCATATTGTTCCATCTGTCAGTAACATTCTGGATTTCAGCAGCTTGCCTTGAAGCATCGACAAGAGTGTGATATATCGTCTCGTCTCTCAACAAAGAGAGATATTCGTTCTCTGCCATTGCAATAACGACTGCTAAGAATGATAATTAAAAAAAAAATAGTATTGAAAGAGATTGAAACAATTCAGATGGAAAAGAAGATTGCGATATAATTGGACCTGTACTTGTTATCTTCCCTTGGACCTTCTTCATGTGATCACTGCAGGAATCAGGCTGTTGAACATGCGTGGGTTTAACATCATGCATGAATTCCTCGTGTTGCTTAAGCTTGTCATCTATAGGCTTTTCCATTTCACCCATCTTTTTCTGGAGCTGAGTGTAATCCTCTGCGTTCTGCTTTATCTCCTTATTACATTCATCATCAACAGTTTTTCTCCTCTTTTCGGTCTCTCCGTCTTGAGATTCTTTTTCACCAGCGGTTGAACTAATAGGTTCACCCCCTATGTTGCAGGCAAGGTAAGATTTCTGGCAAATGGAACAATGCATGACTGTGTTCATACATTCTCTCGAGTATGTATGCCCATGGCCACAGTTCACGCAACGCGTCCAAAACGTGTCTGCAAAAAAATTGCAGGTTCTTTGCGCCTTGGTACCAAATTTATGATCCCCAAAAAAATCACCAGCCCTCATCATTTCCTCTGCTAACTTTTTCGCCCTCGCAGCCTCAAACGAAAGGAACCAATCACTCATATACAGTCCCTGCACAACACAAATTCCAGACTACTTAATTACTTTCATAATTGTGATTGATTAACCTAGAACTTCCTGATTCTAAACCGTCACACTAAGACTCAGAGTAAGCAAAACTATACTTATTAGTGCTTCACGTTTCAGAGACAGGAAATTGAAACTAAGATCCAGAGAGCAATTAATTAAAACACCATCAGATTTTTAAACAAGACTCTATGAGCACTCAACCAAAAATGTTTAACAAAACAATCAGATGATTACGAGTATGAACCACGTCTCCAAAGACACATATATACCGGAACACTACCAACAAATGGTTGATTAACAAATGAAGAAATTGAAACCCTAGAATAAGAAGTCGAACCACCTTACACAGGAGTCAGATTCACAAGAACAAAAAGAAAAACATAAACTAAATTAAACGAATAGGAGAGTAATGAAACAAAATACC